CACGATTTGATTTGATATTAATATTTTAATTTTATAATATCAAGTTTTTATAGCCATACACTTTTCTGAGAAAAGAGTATTTTTGTTTATTTTTCGAGGAATCTTTTTTTCGTCAAATGTTCCACAATTCTTCCACAATTTCAAAAAGTATTTCAAATTTTTTGTAGTTACGTACAAGATAAACTTGGTGTACGATATTCTTGGATTTAATTGTTTTAGATAGCAAATGATGTAACGAATACAATGGAAATACTTTTTGTAGTCAGTTTAAGTTTTTCCTACTAAATTGCTGCATCTGTATACAGGTACACAATTATGCGGAAGTGAACAATGCAAAAAAAAAAAAAAAACTAAATCTATTGAAGAAGAATTGAAAATTCTGCAGTAACTTTCCGCTTTTCTGGAAATTAAACAAAGTTAAGGAGAATTCGCTTTTATCATAAATTCGTAAATTTCAAATTTTGAAATTAAAATTATGGAAAATTTTATGGAAAATTGTACTTACTTGTTTGAATATTATACTAATGTACAAATAAAAGAAAAGAAGATTAGATTATTTGAAAGATAAGAACAAGAATTTGTGAATAATTTGAACATATATTAATTCTTCCTTTCAGAGATACGAAAATTTCCAAAAAAGTTTCAACGCGATGTCAACGATTTTTTAATTTTTGTTTGAAAAATCCACTTAACTTGTATTAACGTTTCCGTTGATTTTTTTTTAACATCGAAATATAAACAATGAATGTTTAATGAATTAGTTCGTACATATAGCGAAAAATCTAATAGTGCATTGATTAGTGCATTGGGGACAACGACACCTTCGTGTCGTGCAATTATGCACAAATTGTTGTTCGTGTTTTTTTAAATAAGTTGAAGTGACTTAAAATAAATTAAAATAAACATTATAACACAATCGTCCTAATAATAAAACGATACATATTTTAGTGGCAATAAATTTGAATAAATGGACTTGTTTGTAAATGAAAAATTATTCGAGGAAAGAAATAATAACAGAATAATTTTCGCGTAACTGGGTTTACGTAAATCCCTCGAGCAAACGAATTTTCGATTACTCATACAGACATCTATATATCGTGTGTAATTAATTTACTCCCGTTCACGAGTTCAGAAAACCACGTTTATCTGTTCAAATATCGTTCAGTCAAGATTTTTCTTTTTTTCAATGTAATTTCACAATTTTACTTACAATGTTTATTTATCGATTCTTATTCCATTATTTTTTTAGAGAGATTTTTTATTTCGTTATTTCTTTATTAAATCGAATTTTCGAAATTAAATGATTCCAAAATTCGATGATTCCAACTTGTTTCCATTCAAATTCTCTGTAATGACAATTAAAAATAACTATTATATTTTTTTTCTACGTTTTTTTCTACTAGTAATATAGTATAATATTAATAATGATATTCGATGACTCATTTTTAGCAACACTGTTCGGTTTTTCTTCGGAATTTATTCAGATAAGATATTTCATAATGACACTAATTAAATGTGCAAATGCTTAAAAACATTTTTTACGATCAGAAGTTCAAACAACTCTTGAATCTCTTTTGTATTGTATATATCTCTGACGTCAAGAAGATGGCATGTAATTTTTTTTTTTTTTTTTTTTCCTTTCTTTTACCAATTCGATCACAATAGTAACACGAGTTACAAAACAGTGGGATTTCGATTAACCGGGTTGATGAAGAGATCGGCACAAACAAGATAGATGGAGGTCTACCGGATGATCAAATCTTAGGCAGAAATAATTAAAAACGTATTGTAATTCAAATATATATTATAAATTTTTCGACCTAGTAGAATGGCAAAAGAAATTATAACAATAATCATGCAATCTATTTTGTGTCATCTTTTAAAACATTTCTTTCCTCTTAAAAAAAAAAGAAAAGAAAAAGATATAAAATATAAAATTTAATTTGCAATCAAATAAAATTACGATATATAATAATTTCGTATTTTAATTGTCTTGGAATATTTCTTCAATCTTGAAAAGATTGACGCCACAAAACATTTAACTCGCAACAAAGAGAATTACAATAATCCATGTCATCCCTCCCCTTTCAAAAAAAGATCATCATCTTGATCACGTCTCTTCAATCTTTTTTAAAAAAAGGAGAAGAATGATTAAGAAGCGCGAGAATTTAAAATTTAGTTTGCGAATTGTCCAACGTGGCCTGGAGGCAGAAGAACGAAACTAAAAATCTCCTCTCTTCAGTTCGTTCAATTCTCGTTCCCCGAGAAAGAGAGAGAGAGAGAGAGAGAGAGAGAGAGAGAGAGAGAGAGAGAGAGAGAGGTTCGTTCAGAATCCCTCGGGGTAGATCGTATTCAACTGCTCCGTGGCTAAATTTAGCGGAAGGATAATTTACCGGATTCTGCTGAACGGCTCTTTTACGAGTGTTCGCCTTCTTCTTGGTCGGACATGGTCGTTATGGGGACTTCCGTGATCCCTCTCTCGAAATTATCCGACCTTCGTTAACCGTGGATCGTATCTGACAAAAATCCACCCCCTTCCCTCCTCCCCATCCACCCACCATCGGTATGTATATACTATGTTGCACATATCCGATGTATCCGTTCGGGATTGGATTCGAAATTTTCTTCCCGTGAAAAAAATTTGTGAAAAAAGAAAAAAAGAAAGAAACTTGAACCGGTTTTTCGCCTGGATATAACGCAACCAGCCTTCATCGCGAAACGAAGTACCATTTTACAGGTGTGCGGATATATTATACGTTTTACACGACGGTGTAGGATAAAATACATCCGAGGAATTTTTGAAGGAGAAATAATTATTTCGTGGTTTGCTATTTGGAAATAAACGGCGACCGAGCATCGCGTTTTAATTAAAAGGGATAAACATTTGGATCTTACAATATTTGTGTAAAATCTTCGATACGAGAAAAAGAAAAAAAAAATTGTAGATGAAGATTAAATTTTGGTAAAAAGAAAAAAAAGAATCTACTTTTTTCTAATATTAAAATATATTTATATCGTTTTTTTTCTTTTTTTGTTTTACCGAGTTTCTTTCGAATTCATGATATAATTCTTATCTAAAATTTTACTTATATTTATCTCACGTGTTATGATATTCTCATAGTATACATACAGATGTTCCATGTCTGGTTTAAATGTGGCGACTCTTAAATAATATTAGAAACGTGAATCTTATTTTGTACCACTCGTAAAATTACTCTTCTGTCAACCGGTTCGCTTTTGAAAGACAAATGTTCGTTTTAAAGATTTCATGTACTATGAACGTTAAGTTTATTACTCATTAAATGCTAGTTTTAGTTTATTGCCAAGAAGATTGAAGCTTTTGTTCAGGATGAGACTAAACGATCGGAATATCCAACGATTAGAAATAAATTATTAAGAAATAAACTCTTTCTCTATTTCTATTATTTTTGTAACTTTGAAGTGACTAGAAATTCGAGCCAATTTCATCAAGAATAAAACCAATCTTTGTAATGCATATTTATAAACTTTTGCAAGTCCTAAAAAAAAAAAATATATGTATTACTTGTTCAAAAAGAAGTACAAAAATCTTACAATTTAAAATACACAGTTTCAAAACAGGAAATGCTTTTATCTTCGATGAATTCTTTTTGCATCTTATCTATCTTTCCAACTAGTTGTTAATCAATCTATGATCGTTCTACCTCACTGATTCCTGTCAACATTTCGCAATAGACATATTTTGAACGGCTGCGCTGAAGTATCAAGGCTCTCGTGTCACAGGTTTTACTGTCACATGCTTTCGAGATTACTTATTTAACATAAGAAAGGCGTATCTTGGATATAAGTGTATTGTGAAATAAATATATCGAACTAAGTATTAAATCTATTTACAATGATATAAATTTGTCAAAAGTTTTATTCAATTCACGCGACAATAATGATTGTATCGCATTGTTCGAGGGTAATTTAAAAAAAGGAAAAGTTACGACCGCCACAATTTTTGCTTTTCGATCATTAAATCAAAGAGAATTTGAAAGAAATCTTCTTTCTCTAAGAAAATCAAAATCAGCTTGCCTTTTTTTTTTTTTTAATACCATTTAACAATATTCTATAAAATTAAAATCTGACTCCTCCGCTTGGATTCAAAAACCTGTATATTGATCTCGCGGTATGATTATGATTTATGATCAATATCAATGAAATATATCTATATTACTTATATCAGGATCAAATATCGATATTAAAATATCAATGGATTATACTCGTTTGATATTTAATACAGTGATTGTAAAAATACAAAAAAAAAAAATATTCTGCAATTATTTTTATAATATTACCCAATTTTTATTTAATTATATTTGATGAAAGATATGAAATAAATAATCAAAGGCGTCACGGGATGGCGAAGATGAAGTGACTAGACAAGTGGCATGTTTGCCATATAATAGTCGGCTAGCTTAAATATAATTTAGAGATACCATTTAGTTGCATCAATTTCCTGGATTAAAACCGCTCAAAAATTAAACTACGAAACGACGTTACGGTACAGATTCGTGACGTGATATTGCAGAAACATTTTAGTAATTATTTCTAGCATTTAAGGCTACAATTATGATAAAATTACACAATTTACAACCGATCGTTTTCTACGAAATAATTCGCACATCAACTTTGTATACACATTTTCTTCGTTCCGCGTATTTTCTGCTATAAATAATTATCAAATAGATCGAAATTAAAGCTTTCGCTATATACACGAACAAATATTTATCGTGTTCCATTTTTATTAACATTCCTGACAAGAAAAATCTTGATTAATTGAATCAAATTGGCAAACGATTATAAAGAAAAAGAAAAATGATTTTCCTTTAATAGAAAATGAATTAAATTTTAGAATTAAATTATATTTAAATTAGAAATATAATATTTATATTTAAAGTAGAAATATAATGATTCTCTATGATGTAGAATAAATTTTTTGATAAATTTTATTCTAATTTTCCCTTTCCTTTTTTCAGGTACGGTGAGAAGCAACGAAAAGTCGACAGTCAAGAGCTCAGTGGTATACAATTGCTTTCTGCAACTGCTTATCAACTGAAGAAACCCTATCAGCAACTCCTCATACCGATCACAATATGGATCGGTATGGAGCAGGCGTTCATCGGAGCAGACTTTACACAAGTGAGTAATTAAGGCGCCCAAGAAATCCTATGAAATGCCAATTTATCGCATTATATATAAAAATCGAATAGTATAGTATATAGAACAAGAATTTCATTTTTCTTTTTCTCCGATCAATCCTCACGTTGATATCGAAAATTGAATAACAATTAGTGTGTACATGCATCGATTAACCTTTGCATCAATAATTTACATCCAGGTAACAAGTAGGTAGTAAGTACATAAATAAGTATTTAAAGTGCACTTATACTTAGAATTACTATGAAATTAGAAATTTATTATTTTTCATTCAAAAGATTCTCAAATCCATTTGTATCATCGTTATTCGATCATCATCGTATTTGCTATCGAATTATGTTCCAAGTTTATAATTTTATTACCATTTATAATCAATGAAATTAGAAATTGAATAATGTCGAAAACATAATGGCCTATATAAGAATTAACAGAACAACAAGAGACTAGATTTTAACAGAATAGATTTTAATTCTGTATAATCTATCCCAAAAGGATAATCCCTTAAGATTCTTTTATCTTATCTCCATCAATACAATAAATTTAACAATGGGAAGGAATTAAAATAAGATTTAAAAAGATAATATATAAGTTATTACACGCATAATTTTCAAATTATACATGGAATTACAGAGATTTAGCAAGAGAGTTTAATAATAAAGGGGTTAATAACCCAAAGACTAAACTTTTTTTCATCAGAAATTCGTTAATCAAGTTTTCAAGAGTTCAAGGATATATTGTTTGCCGATTTCTTAACAACTGGAGGCAATTATTTACGAGTCACGAGGCAGAACAATCGAGTAACAACTCGCCCACGCTCGGTAGAAAATGAACGAGCCTGTTGTCAGAGTGGAAACTTCATTTCGATAAGGCCATCGATTACGAATAGCCGATTATGCATTCGAGGATGAATATCTTCGAAGGAACAGACTAAGAATGGACGACGACGGTCTCATGATCGACGATTTAAAAGTATAATAATATTGGTTACAATAATGACGATGCAATATTATCCATCGATTATCCAAGAATTCTCGCGTTGCTTGTTTCAGAAAGTTACAACACAGATTCGATCTTTTTAGATTAGCTAATACACCAAAAATAATTCACAATATTGATGAAACAAAAATAAACATATTTATTATTCATTTATTTATCTAATTAAGGATAAATATTGGATTGTAAGATGAGATGGCATGGCTAAAATGATCCTATTGTTTTTTTCTTACTAACATTTCTAATTTTTTCATTGTTCTAAAAAAATTTTGAAAAAGTTCAAATTTATTTGCCGAATCTTTACTTCATTATAGAATAATTATTGAAAATATATTATTAGATTATTGAATTACGAGATTTTTTTTTTTAATAAAGAACAACAAAATTATGTTTAAAAGAAAGGCAAACAAGTACAACTCGATCAAAAATAACAATAATCTAATCTGTAATATGAACATTCATAAAATTTCTCTAGATTCTATGATTCATACATTATTGCATATTTTACGCATTTATTGCAATATAATTTTTACAAAAAGCTTGCACTATCTTAAATCTCATCTTACAATAATAAAAATATATCCATTCTTCCACAAAAAACATTTAATGATTATTATAATTATATAATTTTCCTTATTATTATAATTTCTTCCTCATTAAATCGATGAATTAAATCGCGTCGTGTTTAATCATAAAAATTCCCGCGGTACAAAAAAAAAAAAAAAAAAAGAAAAGGAAAAGACGCAGTAACAAAAATAGACGCTAAAATCATTAATGATTATTCTCATCAGATTCAACAACAAAAACTTGGCTAGGATCACCCGGATACAAACCGGATACAGAACGGCAGGTTCATGATGCGTAACGGCCATACGAGGTCGTGCAATTGTTCTCCGGAAATACATACTACTGATCACAGATATGCTGAAATATCGGCTGAAGCACGCATCCTTTGGCTTTAAAGCGCTGAATGACTTCAAATTACAAGTTGTATAATATATACGATTCTCTGTACCGTGATCGGGGAACGCTACTGTTTAAAAAGTACGTGACGTGTATCGACGTTGATCGATTTGCAACACATTTTATAATTTTATAAAATAATATGAATTATGAACTGAAATAGGAAGAGTATAAAAAGCGAATCTTTGTCCATAATTTTTTCGATAAAAAAAAAAACGAAATTAAACCAAAAATCAATCCAAAGTATGGGTTACACAATACCACCATATATAAAATACGGTTAATCATCCATAAATGCATAAAAATCAATAGACTAATCATACGTAATAATAACCCATCAGCTATAATAATTATACACAATAATAAAACTTCGAAACCACGAATATCTCTTTATCCATAATTTTTCAATCAAATTACACCCCATAGAAGATGAGCAACTGATGGCCCTCCTCCCCCCTCTTGTTGCCCCTTCTTTGATCGTTGTTATACATTCGCGCACGCAAAGAGGAGGGAATGAAGAGGAAGAAGAAGAAGAAGAAGAAGAAGAAGAAAAAAAATATAGATGATACAGTTTGGAGAAGGCAAACTTGTCCGAAACCAGTTCGGTGATGAAATATGCGGGCAAATTGGGCAAGGAATAAAGTGATTCGGCGAATAAAACGCTACTGGAAAATATCAGGATACCTGATGAGACGCGCGCCTACCTTTCATTGGATCAGCTGGTTCGACATGTTATAAATAGCCCAGAATTTTATTCTTGCGGCAATTCCCCGATACCACTTCCATACCGGGAATCTCGTGAACCAGTATTTCTTCTTTTTTTTTTCTTTTTCTTTTTTTTCTCTCGTTCTACGGGTGCATCGACGATGCATAGCCTGGCCTGTGCAGCTATCAGCACGGCACGATGTGGCTAAATGAAAGCGCGTAGAACGAATCCTCGTCGATGAATTTTCCTTCCAATTTTAAAAGGAACGTTTTCGTGCACCCGAAATATTTATCTATTATAGATTCAATGACAACGATTACATTAATTTACGAAATTTATTATTACAGAATATATATTGAAAATTTATGATAGAAACCTTCCATTTATAGATACATGTTCCATAAACGAACATTTATTCTCGTCCTGGCAAATTGTTGCGACATTGTCGCATTTTTTATAATCGTGATACTTTCCTTTTTTAGGCTTATATTTCCTGCGCGTTGGGCGTGCATCGAGTTGGCTACGTAATGATCTGCTTTGGAGTTGTGAACGCTATTTGCTCCTTGGTCTTCGGATCTTTAATGAAATTCGTCGGCAGGCAGCCACTTATGGTGCTGGGCGCCATCGTCCATGTTAGTCTTATCGTCGTGCTACTCCACTGGAAACCGAACCCCGATAACCCTTATGTTTTTTATTCTGTTTCTGGACTTTGGGGTGTCGGTGATGCTGTATGGCAAACGCAGGTGAACGGTACGTATTGCAAATTGGTATTTTAACGTGAATATAAATTTTTTATTTTATTCGTTAAAGTTTTTTCGCGAAATCAAAAATTTTTTCAAATTAAAATTAATTTTAATACTTTTATCAGCTTCTTGAAATATCTTTGAAATAACATTGACATGGTTCTACGTATCAACAGAAATTACGGTTATTTATTTCTAATCGGGATAATAGTACAATATACTTGTAATTAGTGTAAAATATCATGTGTAGTGTAACTTTACGTCTTAGATAAAAGATACCTTGACATGAATTTGTAAAGAATTATTAAAGAGGATATTTTTTTTTTTTTATGTTATTTATCTTTTGTACATAAGTTGTAAAAATATATCTAAAAATATTTTCAATCGATATGATTAAGTGCGATGATTAAGTGGCGATTACACAGAATTGTAGAAATAAAATTGTTTGGAAAAATTTTGCAAAGAGATATTTAGCCTTGTTTTGAAAAAAAAAAGAGAATTATTGGATTATTGCATTATGGCATTCAGACGATTATATGTAACTTGTAACACAGATTTTATCACTCGATGTTTATTAGATTTTCCTATTTCAATCGAATCTGATCACAACGAATCTATTCTTTAATAGGAAAAAATCCCTTTTTATCAATCAGATAATGGAAATAAATTAGATTATGATTATCTAAGGAGATAAAAGATTTTTGACAAAAAAAACTTGGAATTGTTCAAGCAATGGAGAAAAAAATTAATATCTAATGAATCTTAAGTTATTCATTTCCTTTTTATTCAGTTCATGAAGTAAATTCAATCTAAGTTGTAACAAATGCAATAAATTAATAGATAGATTTGTTACAGAAAAAATATTTTCTACATCTATAATATTGATAAATTATAATAGATCAAATTAAATTTGATAATTTGTATTCAAATTTGTATTCAACAACTGTTCTGCATTATTCTCGTCAGTCTCGCTCAATTGAATTCCACTCAACAACAAAATTCTCCAGATTTATCGCTTCCATCCGATACATCCTTATCCTGTAATGATGTCATCAGTTGTTTACAGATTTCTTTGTTCTTTCGGAAGATTTAATGTTTTTTCTTTTTTCGGTTACGCTTTGTAATTTAATTATTTTCTTTAACGCATATAATTATTCTTATAAATACTCTAAGTGGAAATATAACCAAATAAATAATTTACGATTTATCGTTTTATCAAAATTAATATCCAGAATCAAATCTTATGGCGGCATTTTCGTCGTTTTGTTACCAATTCTCTTCGACACATGATCACGATGCATCCTAGACGTTCATATGACATTCATCCACATACACACACACACACACATATCGTTCTGCGAATCACGTTTCATTCGTCAAACAATAGCCCAGCCAATCGTTCGTTCCATTCTTAATCAATCGTCATATCTATTCCCATTTATAAAATGTCAATTTTCTTCGAACTTATACCCACTCTATATATATATATATATATATAATAAAATATATTTTACGTACGATAAATTAACAAGGAAATGAAAGATTTAAAAAATTTCTTCTTTTCCAGGTCTGTATGGCACCCTGTTCAGGCGTAACAAAGAAGCAGCATTCTCAAATTACAGACTGTGGGAGAGTGCCGGTTTTGTGATAGCATACGCGTACAGCACCCATCTATGCGCCCGTATGAAGCTGTACGTGATGCTAACAGTGTTACTCGTCGGAACCTGCGGATACATTGTAGTCGAGCTGTTGCACAGGCGTAAGCAGAAAAGGCTGAAGGCCATCGCGGAGGATCCAAAGGCTGCTCAAGCAGAGGCGAATCAAGTGGAGGAGACGGACGATGAAAAGGACGATATCGACGACGATATCATTATAACTCATCTCTGAAACAACATCGTGCACCGACGAGGAATCTCATCAGTGACTTGATCGACTCTTCTCTTTTATTCTTCCTTATTGCTTTTTTCCTATAGTAACGAACATGATTACACCAGCGGCAAATGTATATGTATGATACATCATCCGATCCTCGATCATCTCTGAACGAGTGATCAAAAACCCGTCGTGGAAAAGTATACCATGATTGTTACCCGTTTATAGGAAGCGTAAGGATAAATATTTTTCTTTGGAAGAATGTAGAACAGAAATTAGATAAGATCGGTGATACGAGTAGGGTCGCGAATCGAATTATTGTTTTTATTATTCGTATTGCTGATACGACGTGATTAAATTGTTGTACATTCGTCTTAAGATGAATCGTGGCTAAAAAAAAAAAAAAAATATCGCAGGATATGATAAGATATATAGCCTAAGATGCTCTTATTAGAGCGCTTTTTAATATTCTTTTTCGAATTTTTTTTCCCCCTCCCTTAGTAGATTGTTTTTATTAATTCCATAACTCTATAAATTTCATGTTAAACACAACGCCTCGTTCAATCGTCACGTTATATATCGTTGGACTTATTGCCCACGTGTTTTTCCTTTTTTTCTTGCATCGAAAAACGAAAAAGACAAACACATGTAACGCGACGAAGCTCGCGGACCATTGTATTAGAAACACGTTCCTTCGGTTCCACCGGTTTTGGAAACCGAAAAAGTGTGAAAGAATGAAAAAGAAAGAAATCGACTCATACGAAATTGATGAGGGATAAGGAAATGCGCGAAATGTGTATTACTTCGTGGATGTGTTGTTATGCAGTATGTATCATTTTGTAGAGATTCTATACGACGATTCCATTGTCAACAATAAAACGAATTGCTTGCCTTCACGGTGCTAGAAGCGCGTTCCGATGCCATAATCGTTTTTATGCGTTTTATATCTAGCGTTTATATCTTTGATCTTCACTTAACTGTAAGTTTATTGATTAAAAAAAAAAAAAAAAAAAAAAAAAGAAAAATATGAAAATAATAGATATTGATGTAAAATGATCATTGAGAACGGCTTCAAATATTTGATAATAGATTATTAGATAAGTTTGATCAATTTTAAAATAGTACAAAAGGGAAAATGATTAAGAAAAATAATAATCTATGTTTAATAAACGTACATATAATAGATGAACACGTAAAAAAAGGTTAATAATTCGTTAAACGAATTTGAAATAATCCTGTATTATTATATGTATCTATAAGATGTTAGATCTACCCATTGCTACTATGTGGAAGCGCTTCGTAGCAACTTGCCATTAAGTTTTATCGGAATTGTGTCCCAGTTTTGTGATAAAAAATCGGATGCGTTCCCATAAGGAACGATTCGATCGTGAATCCGCTTATCTTGTATATATATTATGGATAGCAATTGTATTATGCGGTGAAATGGATATTCCATTTGAATGCGTTGTTTTCTGGCTAAGCGAAGCCATGATTTTTAAAACTATAAAACGGGCCGATTTCGTGTCTTCATTGTTTTCTTTTTTTTTTTTTGTATTATGATTACAGATGCACTTGGATCAAAAATGCCACTTGGATCAAGCCTGTCAGATTTTTATTTTTATGAAAAATTTAAAAATTCGAAGAAAAGAATTCGAAATAAAATAAACTCTTTTCTTTTGATTCGATTAAATCAGGCTAGGTTTGTTGTGGAAAATAGGCCGGGATTGTGCATCTGCATTCGATCGATGAAACAAAATGTCGAAGAAAAAAATAACTCACGAAGAAATATTCTCAAAAGAAACATTTCATGTTTTTTTTTACCATCGCCAGAGAGTACCATCCACGAGAAAGAACGTAGATCGTTAAATTGTCCGATGCGTTCCTCATGTTGCATCACGAAATGCTCCCAATTGTCAGTATGATCGAAATCACCATTAAGAAACGTAGGAACGAAATCATAATTAAGCATGATCTTAATTACACACGTTAGAAACAATAACGAAATATTAATGACGTATTAGTTATAGATTTAAGGATCATTGTAGTCGATAATTTAACGTTAAGTATTCCACAAAATTTATTTTTCATAGATAGATCCCTTGTTTCTTTTCTTTCTTTCTTTCTTTTTTTTTTTCAGATTAAAAAAAAAAAAAAGAAAAAAAAGAACTGAAAGCAAAATGGTTATTATACATATATATGTTTATCTTTTCGCGAAAATTCATAATCGGTTATAAGTATGAAGGGGAAAAAATAATGTTGTTTTATTCATATAAAATAATTCTAAAAGGAAAAAAAAAAGAGACTCTATCATAAATAGAATATTGAATCAGTATTTTATTGCCCGAATTCAATTGTATTATGCGGTAATTAATTAACGATCGTTCGATGATCACGTATGATGAACATACTGACCTATTGTAATATCGTCCCTCTCAACAGTATGTTAGTACTTATTCCGTCCATCAATCGATAAGATTGCTCAAGAATCTTTAACATAAGATTAGAGTATCAATAAAACGTATGTCGTACTTATATCTTTTTATATATATATATACATACATATATATACATATATATATATATATATACGCAAAGCCATTCCGATGGTTTAAAAATGTATAATTTCCAAAGAAATTAATGACTTTAATTAGCATTCTTATTAACGAAAGAAAAAAGATGAGCGTCGCTCAAAGAAAGCTTCACGAATCATCTATCTTTCATCGAATGGCTGAAATTTATATTGTTAACTTTCTCTTTTCTTTTTCTTTAATAATATAATAGATTATAAAGAAACGGATCAGAAACATACATATTTCTCTTTGTACAAAAGGAGGATGAATCTTTTGCGGAAAGTATTAAGACAATACTCTATACAATTGTATAAAGAAAACTTTCACGTGCATCGTGTTGTTTTCCTCTTTCGATGAATCGAAAGCAATATTTCATTACAAAGTTTGTAACAGACTTTTGTATTTGTTGTCATTTACCTACAATATCTTTTCCTGTGATGTTATAGAAGAAATCAGACGGATTATAAATGAATCCATTTCATTATAAATAATGAAACTCTTATTTATAAAAAGAGTTTTAGAAATAATGTCTTCCTGGATGATTTGAAGTTTGGAAGAAAAAATATTTGTACGATGTAAGTATACATATTACACAGTGTTGTTTATTTGATAAATTATTGTTTATTTACAGCTTTATTTCTTAAGTTTAGATTAATTAGGCCACTTGAGCAAGTAAATTAAAATATAGAATTACTTAACAATAAAATACTTAACAATAAATTCGTTATTACAAATTATTTATTCTGAGCTGCAAGTTAAATTTTTTATTTAATAATATAATATAAATTTATAGTAAAATTCTTTTTGTAATTAATGCAATGATAATTTGTAAACATTCTTAAAACATCCTAATAGAAGACAATTTCTAAAAGTATATTTATTTAGAACAAACTTTGATAATTTATGTCTATTTTTTTTTATCTACTATTTAATTAAAATATAATTAATTTTATAATTCAATTTGTAAAAACTTCTGCTTTGCAATATACTATATGTATCTATATGTGTATGTGTGCGTGCACGTTTGCAAAATATAAATACATTATTTTTATTGCAATTTGTGCAAGTTCTTATCTACCTGCACGTATTGAAATTAATTATTTATTTTGATATGATTATACAAATTTTTTCAATAATTTTTCCATTATAAATGTCTAATTGACGTTATTAATAAATTTCTATAGTATACTTTTTTAACCGAAATATGTTTGTTAAAACTCTATTAAATGCGAGACATCACTTTTTATTACTTTAAATTGTACTCAGTTTGTTTCTGAACTATGAGGACCTCTATAATATGATAATTTTTTTTTATTATTTCAGAACATTTTGATGTAATTTAAATAAATTATTAAAAAAATACTCATTTTTATTTGCTTGATATTAAAACTAAATATATATATTTTAATTTATATCACATAATATTAATATTAATATTAAAAATAAAAAATTTAACAAAATATATATAATAAACAATTCTTAATTCTAAACAACTAATAACAATAAAAATACTCATACTATTTCAGTAATAATATTTTCTATTTTTCATAGTTTCATTGGAAGATAGAATTAACAACCTAACTATAATAAATATCTATAAAAAATTCTCTATTAAATAAAAAACAATTTTTATGATTATTTATCGTTAAAAATTCGAATATATCTTTTTTTGTAATATTGTGTATAAAATATAGTAGAGTATATGTTTATGTAGTATGCGAAAAATTATATATGTAATTGATAACATTTTGCGACAACTATAAATCTAATATGCATGTCTAAAAGTTAATATCACGAACAAGAACAGGAATATTCTCTTCTGTATATTGTCAACATATTGAAATGATGCGTATTTTTTTTTTTTTTTCATTTCACATTTACATACTTATATAAAAAAATATTCTGAGTCAGAGTAAAAACGGATGAAAATTAATCGAGAGAAGAGTATATCTCGTTCTTTACTGTCTAATTTTATTACCTTAGTGCAAACTAATGGTGCACACCATATGCGCGTGTGTCGTATCTCAGTAAAAATTGACTATGTTTTTTTACTTGACTAGCTTCGATATGTATTCGCTTATCGCATTTATTCTCACAACCAGCCGAAATCCATTCCGGTTAATTGATAGAAACGTTGATTGAATGGACGATAAAAATCTCTCAATCGTTGTATAGCTACAGGATCTATATAAGGATGACTACGACCTTTGTTTTTACCTTAAAATAATATATAAATTGTTATAAAGCATATAATGCTATAAATTCTTAAAAATTTTTATTTTTTTATGGTTTAGCATTGATAAAAAAAAATTATTGATAAAAAAGTAAATTAAAAAAAGAATAAAATGCAATAAAATATAGTACACTTATCTTTATATTACATATATATTTATTTTTCATATTGTCAACTACAATTTTTAGTTGACTTACCAAGGCAATGGGGTGTAGGACGTTCCTCGGATTTGAGCAGACAAGGGAATCCTTTTGTGGCATTGAAATAAAAATGTTTCTCACAAATAACTCTTTTTAGGCCTAAAAAATCTTGAACCCTTGTAATCTCGGCGACAGGATCCATGATTAATCTTTCTCCAGATACAAAAAGAAATTGTGATAATGGAAAATATTGAAGCCATCTCTCCAAATGTCGTGCGTACACTCCGATTTTCAATGGTACCCATGATGTGTCCACGATCTTCGATCCATTTAAAAACGCTAGATCCTCGAATCTCGGCATATTAGCTCGTTTGCTCTTCACTTGAGTATAATCGGATATTGCTCGAGTAACTGGATCTCTTACCACAAGAATCAATTTCATCCCTGAATTCATGCGTTGTACTCTCCTCGGTACTTCACTTGTTACAAAGTACGATGGGGTTTTCTCCATTGTGATTTGAGTGGCTAAGGTTGGAGGCATTCTATGTCTATAATATATCAAAAGATAATTTTTTTGTTTAATTATATTATTTATAATTTTTAAAAAATACAAATTCTAGCAAAATAATAAAAATAAAATAATTGTTTCAGTGTAATTATTACATTATTAATTCAAATATTAATGAAATTACTGCTAATAAAATGAAATCTTAATAGTATAAAAAATATAAAACTAAGAGTATAAAGATGTACGATAAAAAACTTACCTATACCAATGAAATCCTTTGATATAATGATGATCAAAAAAATGTACTTCAGATCCAGCAGCACGAATAGCAGGATGCAATCTCAAAAATTCTAACAACGCTCTAGTCCCGCCTTTTTTAACACCGATTATCAAAGCAGTTGGTAATTGTTTACTTGGCATTAAACCTTGCTGTTTCAAAATTTGATATTTTCGCATGAATCCTGTGTTTCCTTTAACAGTGTTATTGCCTGCCCAAAGCGACACCAGATGAAGCTTCGATAGTTTTGAATGTTTGGATTCGACATCATTTATCAGAGAGGATTCTTTGATCGTTAAACGGTCCAAATTCGGATCGCGAGCGAAAGAAACGAAATTTCTGGGTTTTTGTAATGTTACTTTGCCAGACAAACCGGCAAGCAGTAATGAATTGTCTATTAGAAAAATCCAGATGAGAATTACCAAAAAACAGGCTGGAACCAGGATTTTTTTCGACCAAGGCCCTTTTCTAATTTCCATCCTGAACTTAAGAATCGTCGTATTTTACTGGCATCCTGGATTCCATTATATCATCAAACTTTCAGTCTTCTATTTCCATGATGATATATTAGAATACATTTTTTTGCATCTATCAAATCTATAAAAAAATTTTATTATAAAATTTGTCAGATGTATATTGATTTTTTAATACGTAATTATAATTATTATTTTGTATTATTATAATAAAAATTTATATAAAGTATTAAAAAAAATATTATAAAAATTATAATATAAAAATTAAAATATAAAAATTAAAATAAATATTTAAAAATCGAATATTATACTGCAGCATTAAAAATAACATGTTTGATTATCCATTTGATCATGCTTGTTAAACTGGTTGCATCTTATTAGGCGATAGATTGTATACATACAGAATGGTTGTCCATTATGTTATAAATATTCAGAATATTTTGTTAAAGAAGAATAAATATATAAATATATATACTATGTATTTACTTATACTATGAAAATTAATAAAAAATATATGTAAAAAGAAAATATATAAAATACTTAATTTTGTAAATAATATTTCATAATTATAAGTATTCAAATATATCGTTTTTGGTTAAAAATAAAAAAAAAAATAAAAGCTTTTTGAAAAAACTTATAGATTATTTTACAATAAAATATATTAAAAAAATATTTCATTATAATTCACATTTATTCAAATAATAAGTAAGTATTGTAAGTATATAAATATTATGATAATAAATTACGTCTAATTTGTTACTAGATTTAATAGATTTTAATAAATTTTTTTATTTTCATAGATATATTTTATAAAATGCATACAAAACAATGTATCCTATTATTTTAACGAAACAAAATATATATTCAATAATGTAAATTAGTAGAAAATGTTTATATATTTAGTATAATATCTTACCTTCATGTTGTAAAGTGTCCGACTGTCCATTAATTTTACAGAGTATACATAATGCTGATTGATCGTGATATTAGTTTCTTTCCAAATAATAGATGTAAAGATATATGATTTTAGATTAAAGGAAGTGCACATTTAACGCATTATCAGTCGGCGCATTCGTAACAATCGATAACACGGAACGAGTAGAAGGGAGAAAAGATAGTATAACACAAGACGTATCGATGAGATTTCATAGCTACCGAATTAGATAATAAGAAGTTAAATTAAACTTCATTCTTGTTGAATTTTTCGTGTTTTATTTAGATTCGAGTGTGGTACAGCGTTTGTTAATTGCATTGCGCGCTAGAAACTTTTTCTTTTCATGCTTCTCGTCCACATTGTTGTGTTCGAGTATACTGAAATATGCGATACTGGCGCCATGTTTCTTAATGCGGAACAACTTGAAAACTAGCTGGAAAACAGTATAGATCTTATGATATCGAATAACCGAATCAAGCTAAAAATCGAAATATATAATTTTATCTATATAAGATTAAGTGACAGTTAATAACTTTCATAAACGATTCATGATATATCGAAGAAAATATCATTTTAAAAGAAGGAAATTAGGAAAAAATTGAATATATATTGCTTGTTAAGATATAAATCAAAATCAAAATCAAATATGAAATAAACATAGTGAAAATATATTAAAATTAAAAAAATAAAAATGAAATATTACATAATAATAAAAGTTTAGTATTAATCTTCATTACTAATTAGTAATATTTATTACTAAAATTTAATGAAATTTTATATTTAATACATTTAATATATTTAATATATAAATATAAATATTTCTATAAATTT